GATATTTTTTGAACTTTTATGGAATCTCTGCATTTAACCCACCCCCTTAGGAATGCATTCTGGGAGCCATAGTGACAGTCTGTGGGATCAGTTTTGAACTCACAACCTCAGGATTTAAATCTCTATTCCCTAACCACTAGTCCACCACTCCCCAGTAAGAAATTACCTCTGCATTGACCCAATCATCCTGGGGAGCAGTGGGCTGCCATCATTGGGCATCCAGGGAGCAGTGTGGGGTTCTTGTTCAGAGACCCAGAGTGGCAGTCTGTGGGAGTGGGGCTCGAACTCAGAACCCCAGGATTCAAGGCTCTATGCCTTTACCACTAGGCCGCCACTCCCCACTTTAGGTTGATTTATACCTAGAAACCAGGTCGTCTGCGTCGCACTGAACGCATGTGCCCCCGCCCCTTCCGCAGACACTCTGGTGCACCTCTCCAAAATTGTAGGTGACCGCAGACAGGAGGCCTCTGATTGGTCAAATCTCCATCCGCTCTACACTATACGTATTTCCTGTTTGGTACCTTACCGGCTTGTTTTGTTTGTATGATCGCCATTGTGGAAAACGACTTGTGAAGATGGACCAACTTGAAGAGCGAGGCGCACAGATCCCTGCTGTTTTTGGCCCTCATGTCCCTCCATTGTCGCACAAATTTCCTCACCGCCTCGGCCGTATCAAGACCCACAGCTCCTTCCTGATTGCGTCCTCTTGCGTTGTTGCATGATATATTATAGCCCAGATCACGCTTCAATATTGGGCATAAATCTAAAAAATCTTCGACACACCACTGAGGGAGGATAATCAGCCTTTAACAGCCGGTTATGTAAACATAAAACCAGAAAAGCAGCATCTACAACTAAGCTTCAACCTAAAAAGGGGAAACAAAGAGCAAAATAAAACTCCATATTCTAAAGGTCCTGCAAAAAAAAAGGTAGAAAACTAAACAAGCAGCATGAAAAGTCTAAGATATGATAAACTCTGAAGCCCTGAGGGAAAACTAGGAAGGAATGGTCGAGTTTGGAAGAATCTTTTTGCACCATGTTTCATGAAACGTGTACTTATACTGGCTTTTGTGTAGGATGTGTTTTTCTTTTTAATCGTACTTATAAAGTGAGGACCTGAGTGTAAAATCAGGACCCTTATTTTGGTCCTGATAATTTGTGTGGGCTATGGCTTCTGTTGAGGCGTAAAGATGTGTATTCCCTTCAGGTTCAGGGTTCCGCCTTAGAAAGGGCTAAAGATAAATGGAAGTTAAAACACCTTCAGTCAGGATGTGTTTGTGCTTTCATTCACATCCAGCTTCAGTTAGCATATAGAGAGACTATCCAATCATCCAGCTCCTGCAGAACATTTGAATCATTTTAACCTAATCAGCTCCTTGGAAAATCAAACCAACGGTGGCCGACATGCACAAACATAAAGCAAACAACTAAAAGCTGCAAATCTGCTATGTTTTGTTGCAAGTTTGGATTGTATTTTCTTTTCTTAACCCTATAATGCCAAACGTATCGTATTTGATACATACGGTTTCTGAAATGTTTTGCATCTGACACCTTTTGCATAATTTAATGGTAAAAACTGCTCAAAATTATTAATATCAAAAATTTATTTCTGTTTTTTCTTTTTACATATTTTGTTAAAAGGCCAAATAAGGACTTCAAACCAAAAAAAAGTAATTTTCTGTTTTGTTTAATTCTTGGATCGGGCTTTAAAGGGTTAAATAGCGTGCATCATTCATGTGTTTGCAGCACGTTTGCACCTGTAAGCCTGTATCTGCAGATCAACCAAACAACATCCAAACTGGACCATTCCTTCAGAGTCTGACACTACAGGCTAAAGCTACATGTTACCTGAATATCACTGCAGACATGCATGTTTGAAAGAAGACACAAATATAGGAAAAATGCTGAAACTGGCTGAGATATTGTGATTTATTATTTTTTTAATAGCATACAGTATATGTTCCTACTAGACAACAGGTGTTAGAATTCCCCTCAGTGGGGTTTTGGTTCTTATACCTTTAACATATCCGTCCCAATGTTTCCGATACATCAGGTCCATGTAGACGTCTGCGCAGAGCTCTGGGTTGCAGCTGCCGAGCCCACCGAAGACTTTGTACTCATAAAGTCCAGTTTCCTGCAAACAAAAGCATTAAAGTTCTGTCTTCCAAATGCCACACCCATAACTGTGAACAACTGCTAGGACTTCAGAATTCTGCCAAAGGTTCAGACGACAACAGATGAAAAATACTCATACAAAAGGTTTCATTTAAAACACAAACACGGAAACTACTCTCTCCATGTGCATTTTGAACATTTTGTTTGTGCCTGTACATTATGGTATCATTTTT